CGGCGAAGTTTCAGTCGGTTCTTCAGGGTCGACGACGAGCGTAGGCGGTGCATGGCGGCGAAGTCGTCGACGTAGGAGAGGACTATTGTACAGCGTGCCGATAGTGAAGAGAAGGACGATAGCTGGCTGGTTAGCCTTTCTGTGGCGGGGATGTATGCAGGGACGGGAGGCTTACAGCCTGGCTCTAGGACATCCTTTGCGGGCATGGCGGCGACGTAGGAGGAGACGGTAATGTACGCAGGGAGATAAAAATGCGATACGAGGGTTAAGGTGGTCGAGGCTACGATGGTTGAGGATGGATGTAGGACGGCATTCAATCTAACGCTCGTTTGCGAGGGACTTTGCGCGATCGGCGCGTGAGGAACCGGCGGTTGGGTCGGCTTGGTGGCGGACACGTATGCGGCGGGTGCGGCGGGTGCGGCGCGCGGGTCGAGTAGCGAATGGGAGGGGGTGGTGGCCGAAAGAGGGAAGGAGAGATGGCGTACCTGATGAAGGTACTTCGTACGTTGGGTACTTTATGATCAGGGTCGCAGGAGCCTCTTCAAATAAGTGAGGATGAAGGCGGGAACGAGCAAGCCACAAGCGTCGTCAGTACGGGTCTGGGGCGAGCTCAATATGAAGCTTCGGCTGCTTCCAGCAACATTTTCTTATACTCGGAAGCGGGCGGATATCTCTTAGTCAGGACCTTGGTTGGTGTTTCGACGGGCGTCTCAGACCCGACTGGGCTAATGGCCATTTGTCGTTGCTCTTTTCGGCATCCTTGGCCGATCTGATCGCCGACATGGGGCCATAAAAAATAGTGCGATATACGTCATTGGCTGAGTCTTGGTCCGACTGGTCGCGTGCCCTGCCGCAGGGCTGTGGCTGGGTCATGGGGAGGAGACATCAGAAGGACAGCCTCGTGGGACACACTTCCGAAAAGATATGGAATATGGTCTGCAAGGCCTTTCGGAGCAATAACAAGTACATCCGTATCTACTACAGTAGTGTAATACTTCGGGAGGAGCGATAGCCCCCGGCATCATCATGCCAACAACCAAGGGCCGAAGATGACGGACTCGGAAAGCGGCGCTATCAGTCAACACCCACTCTCCACACCTCCATCCCGATACCGGACAACAGCACCTCCACCCGACGCGGACCGCTGTCGCACGACGGGAAGAGCGCCATAGACGAAACATCCGCAACGGCTGTGTACCCATTCCCTAGCTTACGAAGCACGACGCCGTGTTCATCGGAACGCTCCAGATCCATACTGATACCCCACACCCGGACACGCTGGTCGTTACTCCCGCTGACGGCGTAAAGACCGAACTTCATTTGCGACGATACCCCCAGCCAAAGCGCTGTAGCCGTGATTGCTGCCGCGTGGGCTCGGGGAATGAGCAGCACCGACATTCCCGGGCTGCCGGTCTTGTGTAGAACACAGTGCGTCAGGCCGAGGGCGTTGTCATCCCCCCCGGACAGAATCAAGTGGTTGTCACGATTGAGGCGGACAACAGACATTGCTTTGACGGAGCTCTGGTGGACGCGTATGGTGCCCAACCATTCGATTTCTGTCACGTCGGGCGAGGCTTTCAGTTCAGTGATTCCGCTCATGGACCACAGGCTAATGTGTCCATCAGTCGCTGCCGTGAGCAAAATTGATGTACCTGCATCCACAGAAAGGTATGAGCATTGTGTAAGACACGCTGACGTGTAGCGGTGCGTCGCACGCAATGTCCACGTCCCCTTACTGTTGCTCGAGATGTAGGTAAATGTCTGTAGCGTCAGTGCCATTACACCGCGAAGTAGGTCACTTACCCTGATGGTGGAATTCGAGTAAACCATCGTGATAAGGAACATCGCGTCCCCATCCTGCTTCCCCTTGCTCTCCGAGATGTCTTCAACTGCAAAGCTTGTAATCCGCAAGTCTGATTTCTCGTTCGACATCGGGCAGGCTGATTCACGAACCACGCCCACCTCCACAGACGGCACAGAGCGCAGTCTCCAAACGAAGAACTCCTCAAAGCCGCCGCTGCTGAAGAGGAACCTACCATCACTGGACCATTTCAGAGATTGAATGCCCGTGACATGTTTGCGGAGGATAGATACGCATCTGAAGGTAGTGCCGTCATATGAGGATAGCCTAATGTCGGTGTCTTCCGCTCCTGTCGCAATCAAAGGGCCCAGTTTGCTTCCGGATAGCACAACGGGTGCAATGGCGCACGCTTTAATCTCCCTACCATGTCCGCCGGGCTGGATGACACGGTGATTGGCCTCTTGCGAAGTGTAGATCATAAACTGCGATGCCTTCGTCCATGCGAAACGCCCCCCAGTTATTCCCCCATCCGTGGTCACATTCGGCTTGAAAGTCCAGACTCGATGTACGCCCCCACTTTCCACCGTCATGATACTACGATGAAGGGAGGCGTTGTGGAAAATAAAGCGAGTGCCATGGAAGCCGTACACGAAGAGTTCATTCTTCGGACTGATGTAAAGACCCTCGAGGTTTGAGCCGAGGGATAAAGTGAGCTTGTGGACAAGCAAAACATTTGAGCCGCTCTGAGGAATCTGGTTCACAGCACATGCACCGTCCCGGCCGACGGAGACGAGCCATCCAAGGACGTCCTGACTGTCCTTGCCAGATAGCCATCGAAGCCCGGTAATGGTCTCGCCTCTGTGCACTCTGGGAATTGTGTATGGCTGCGTGACACCTTCCGAACCACCGTGGGAAAACATCAGGGCATCCCCATTCCGCAATCCTAAGAAAACGGACCATTGATCTCTGCCAGTTGGGCCATGGGTCATGCTGGTAACCATTACTGATGGCTCAAGAGGCAACACCACTCTCCGGACAACGAGAATATCTTCCGAGAGTCGGTGGTGGGCAAGAATTATGTGCTGTGGAGGACTGTTTCCCATCAGCGTCGCAACGAGTCCGTATGTGTCCACGTCCTCGGTTGTCTTGACAAGCTCCACAAACAGGCCAGCAACTTTACCACCCACTCTGAACACGGGCATCATTGTCCTGCCTTTCATGTCAAAGACGTATACAGCTCCTTCAGCCCCAGCCAGGAAAGCTAGCGGCTTCTGCGGAACGCCGGCAGCGACAGAATACCCGGCAATATCAGAAAGCGTGGCAATGTGTGACCACCGGCGAAACCCTGTCTCGTCCTCTTGAAAAAGGAGGACCAGTCCCTCGTTTGTCGTCATCAGTAAGGCGGTCTCCTGTATAAAGATGTAACTGCGAAAAAAATCTGCCTTGCAATTCTTGGGGGCCGAGACTGCTGCAAAATGCGCTGGTTTCCCGAACGAATTAAGAGTCTGCTGGCAAAAGAGATCAGCAGATTCCAGCATGCTTTCCATACTCCATGTGGCGAGTAGAGTCGAAAGAGGTGCTTCAACTTGGTCAGTTTGGAGTCGCCGAGCAGTGATGGCACCATCAGCGCCGCCAGTTACAATACGGGGGTTAGCGGCACTGTCAACCGCAACGGACCAGATGTTCTTTCCAAAGTGATGGGCAAATGAAGCTCTATGGTGCAAGGCAAATCCATTTTCTTTTTCGTCCAACTCCCACACTTGAGAAGTGGCGTCCTCTCCGATCGAGAGAAGCTTCATCGATTGAGTCTTGAGCCAGCTGGCGGCATTGATGTACCGCACGCCCCATATCCGGGATGCGTGGCCCATAGCCGAGGCAACACATAAAGAAGATGAAAGGTCATCGATCTTGCGCTTCTCGTTCTTGGAAAGGAACCCTGTCTGCTCCAGGTACTGGCCACTGGCGCCTTCCTCATAGCCCGGCGCCCGAAGGCCTGGATCCTCGCGGAGGAGCCAGATGCGGATCGTCCGGTCGTCGCTGCAGCTGGCCAGGAATCGTGCTATTTTCTGGCCTTCCATATCTAGAGGCAGCCGCTCCGATATCTGGAGGCCGAAGATGGATCCTTCATGACCAGTGAGGATGTAATGGACGCACGCTGTGGAACCCGGCGATGCTGCGGTGGACCACACTATGATATCGCCAAAGGCGGTGCCCGCTGCAACCAGAAGTGAGAATGAGGAGTCCCATATGAGGTTTGCAGAGTACAATATGCACCGCGGACCGGCAGCTACTTCGTGAACCAAGAGGGCAGCCCTATCCTAATACTGTCAGACACTCCCTGGTCTGAAAATTTGAATAAAAATAGAAAGCCTCACCCATTACGAGCAAGCAGCCTGGGCTCTGAGGTACTCACCGTAGGGCACGCTGTGTACAAAACATTTTGAGCTGTGAGAAATGCAGCATGGGCAGTACAATCGCAGTTCATGCCAGAGCTCTGACCGGATCCTGCGTTTACGGCGAGAGCAAGAATCCAGCCTGGCGCTTTTGTCGACTGACCAAGAAAGATTTTAAGTCCATCCTGCGGCCCAGGAACGGTGTTGGCTTTAGAAATCGGGACCAGTATCACGAGCCGCAACATGGACCGCCCCCAGATTAAAAGGTGAACATGACCGCTAGCAAGCTTAGCCACATGAGCAATGCCATGAATGGTCTGATCGTCAAAAGCGTTTGTCCAGAACAGGAGTTGTCCCGTTTCGTAATGGTAAATCCGTAGGAATGGGCCGTCTGCAGACACAACTAGGTCATCCAGGAGACATAGAGCTGTCACAGGCGTCCGCGAAGATATGATCTTGACCCAGATTAGCAATCTGTACATCCGAGCACATCGAGCACAGCGAGCCTACCTGTAGAAAACTGGACATATTTCACGATCACTGGATTTTGGCCATGTTCAGTGGAGGTTGTTCGTGAAAAACAGACCAGATACAGTTACGAATCACGTGAATGACGACTCCGTTGAGGAATGACGACCCAGTTCCTGCCCCGAAGGAAGGGTCAACGCTGAAACCCGCAACTGCCTCGTGGCCGTTCTTGATCAGCAGTTGGGCGCTGTGAAAGTGCCTTATCGGATTAACTTGTTATATATATTGCCACAAACGGCTGAGAAAATTACCACACTACGACGAGCACAGCTCGCCCATCTTCCGTAGTCTAGTGGTCATGATTTCCGCTTGTCATTTCAAGTCGCCTTCAAGCGCTTGAGTGCGCGGACGGCCCGGGTTCGATTCCCGGCGGGAGAGTTTTTTTTGCCCTTGTGTCCGATGTTGGGACCCGGGAAGGAGTGAATGATCCAAGGAGAGATAACTTGTCTGTGAGCTCTTGCCCGCCCCAGGCAAGTGGCTTTTGTGACTTCTTGCAAGGATCGGTACTTCCTGCAAAGTACCTCCGTATCCGAGTGCGGAAACGTCTTGCTGAATTCGCTTATGGCTCAGCAGGCTACCAAGTACTCGTACCTACAACTTAGGCAAATCCCTCACTTCCAGTGTGTGCATCCATTCTACTACTGCCTTCCCGGCCTCCACCCCAAATTGGGCAGATTTAGTACATGAAGAGGCCGTCCCTTCAGCCGGTGAGCTGAATAGAGCTCCGTGGACTGGGGTGCGGAGGTCTGGATTCCCGAGACCTTCTGAGAAGATCCAATGAAACTTCGATGAGAAGTACTTGCAACAGAACGAGGGTTTTTTTCGCTTTAATTGTAGCCTCGTGGGTTGGTGCGACGATTTCATGGGAGGATGATACGGGAAATGCTGCTACAGCTGAACAGATACCGGGTAGGCCTGCTTTAGGCCGGCTGCGTCTGTCCTTGTTTGTGAATGATAGAGCTTCTGGTGGAATAAATGTGAGCAGTGACGACATACCTGGATGTCTATGGGTACGGGCTGTCGACTTTGCTGGACAAGGGTTGCCACGTTCTCGTACCAAAAGCTCACATGATAGGCTTCCTATCTCAAGCCTTATACCACCATAAACGCCAACCTTCAACTTCGACGACTTCACAGGTGAGAGATGGGGTATGCTTTGAGCTAAAAAGTGGACCGCGAACATGCGCGTTCGGCATCCGACAAGCTTCGCGGGAAGCAGCCGCGATCAACGTGCACGGGACGCAGAACATGCTTATGGTTGGCTGGCGGCGTCGACGCGCCTCCAACCGCCAAGTCCACTTCCATCACGACATCAGCGAACACGACGGAAGCTCCGGAGAGTGAGCATAGCTTGAGTCTTTCTATATATTGCTTCCCGACGCAGTGAAAAGCTCTGCATACTTTTACTGTGTTCTGTTTACCGCACAGTTTGCGCCATCCCTGCAGCTCGACCCAAATACCAGCAGCTCCACTGTCACACCCAACAATGAGGTCACCAGCCTTATTCCTAGCCTCTCTGGGCCTGGTTTGCGCCGCGCCCATATCTTCTCCACATGTAGGAGAGACACTGCAGAACATCCTAGCCAATACTGATGGGAGTCCTCTGTACACCTACCCGACTGATTTGACGCGTGGAATTGTGCCGGTATGCTCATACCTCGGCTCTAGGACAACTCTGACAAACCGCAGAAAAACTTCCATTCCCATAACGATTACTGGAGGGATGTCCCATTCTATTCGGCCATCGCATACGGCTCCATATCAACGGAGGCTGACGTCTGGCTGATCAATGGCACGCTCTATGTCAGTCACTACCGTCCTCACCGACCATCCCGTCTTCTGCGTCTAACCTCCCCAGGTCGGCCACGAAGTCAGTGCCTTAACCAAGGAGCGTACCTTCGACGCCCTCTACATACAACCCATTATGGACACCATCAAGCGCCAAAACCCCACCACGCCCTTCGCCTCCAGCTCCAGCACCAAAAAGTTAGCCTCCCCCAGCCCACCAAGTCCTGGCTAACCCCTCCAGTGGTATCTTCGACACCTCCTCAGGCCAAACCCTCTACTTCTGGATCGACCTCAAGACCCCCGGCGACACCACCTGGCCCGCCGTACTCGAAGCCCTAGCACCCCTTAAAGACGCCGGGTATCTCACTACCACAGACGGCAAAACCGTAACGCCGGGGCAAGTCACTGCCATCGGCACGGGCAACACCCCGAAGAGCTACTTCTTGCCCAACGACCCGGCCTCGGCCTCTAACCCGCGGTATACCTTCTTCGATGGGCCGCTCGCGACCCTCAACGCGACTGAGAACGCCAACATCACTAAGACGATCACCCTGATTGCTAGCGCGCCGCTGTCCGGCACCGCGGGCGAGATCCGCACTGAAGGTCTGTCGAAGGACCAGCTCGCGGCGGTGCGGGCTCAGATCGCGACTGCGAAGAGCAAGGGCATTGGCGCGCGGTACTGGGACACGCCGGCCTGGCCCATTGGAACGCGGAATGCCGTCTGGCGCACGTTATGGGAGGAGGGTGTTGCGTTGGTTAATGTCGACGACTTGGCCGCTGCCTCGGAGTTCTGGAAGAACCTAGGTTAGGTATGTGGGGGCCGAACGACGTGACCGGTGTGAGCGAGTATTGGAGCTCCTCGGGGAATCTGCGAGCGAGTCTTGGAGCTCTCGCGCTGGTGTTATTTAGGAACTTCTCTCGCAGCCTGCCTCGTGTCAGCATTGAATTCGTGTGATATCATCCACGGCTAGAAATTCATATCGCCAGATACTAAATATAGCCCCTCAATCGCAATCAACTCCATACACCTGAAATTCGCGCGGGTTGGATCTACATCAGGCCTGCCGCCTAGTGTGGGGGTGATGCAAGACGTCGTATACCTATACGGGGAATATTCATCTCAGCCGCACAAGGGAGGAGACATCTTAGTGCATGATATGTGGGCCATCCAGATCCCGCGCCACGCGCTCACCATCTGCTTCCTGTAAGATTCGACCGGGGTTGCGCAGCTGCACCGCGGCTGCCGCCGTAGCCGCATGGACGCGGACGCCGTGCAACGGTTTGTGGGGAGGTAACCGAGCAGATCTGAATACTCGTTCGGAGTTGCCGTGAGGCTAAACCCTGGCCTTTCCTGCGGTATGTACCCGCCTCGAGATGCCCTGGCGCATTGCTGCAGTTGGCAGCTCCGTCATTGGCTTAGTGTGTATGTGTGACATGCCGGATATGTGTACTGTTAGACTTTACTTCTCAACGTTGAAGTAAATGTCCATCAGGCTATGCCGATCCCCTTGAATGCATCATAAACCTGGGTAGAGTTTACATTGCCTCCCTCGAAGTACCCGCATCGATAGGCCCGAACGTAGCCCACTTCGACAAGGATGGCAGCACTAATGTAAGGAAGCTGATCCATATGTGTGGTTAGTCCGCACATGAAAGGGATCAGCAAATCGATGTTGACTGCTTTCGCAGATGGCAATGTGGCACTACGAGTAGCTTGCTTGTTTTGGAAATCGGAAACTGACAACGGCCTTGTCTCTCTTCTGCCTTCACTGCATATCAGGAGAAAGGTACCGAGTTGATACTCCCATGCTCACTGTGAAATGAAAACAACAAGGTGATATCTCTGCCATCTCCCGTGCGTGAACACAGCGCGGCTTCTACTGCAGTCGTCGCGGGAGTTTAGGATTAAGTAGCGCCCGGAAGCGTCGGGAAGGAATCCTCACCGGTATCGGCTGAATGCCTTGATACGCAGTGGCGAATACTGATAACAAGAGCGTCATAGACGCGGTAGAGCACGGCTGTGTATCTGCGCAGCTTATGACGATCACGAAGCTGGGCTGCTGGGAATTGCAGTGTGCGACTGCTACGGAGTTCCCTCAACGGAGGGCGCAGTAGTGTTCAGATGATGCATCCCGTAGTCCATTGCGGACGAGCCAACGAGAGTTGGGCGATAGTTCGCCGCATGTTGAAATGAAAATTGGATGTCTGACTTCCATACCGGCCATAGACGGGTCGTAAACTGGCCTTTTGAGAAATGAAACCACATGAGTGATATCGGGATCTGCTGGTGTACAAGACCGGACGAATGAAAGCGCGGCATCGCGAGATCCGGGATGCCATGGTGCTGGGAGACGTGGACAAGCGTGCCGATGGAGAGGCTGGATGATGACTTTGAGAATGCTAGATTCATCGACTCTGCAGTGGTCCCCGATTGAGCAAAGCAGCAAATCGTGAACAACGGCCAATGTGTAGATGGATTAAGAGCCAGTCTGGCCAGCGGCAAAATCCGAGGCGGAGATGAGGTTTGCGAACCTGCGGTGCGCCGCGGTGCTCGAGGCGGGGTGCATGATTGGCATGAATATGAGGATTGTGATCATGAGGGATTGAGATGGCGGGGGAGCAGCTCAACTGATCATTCCGCGGCCGCGGCATCAACATTACCGTACCGCGCGGCCGGCCGAAGGCTGGTGGGGGATGTCGACGGTCGCCGTTCTCCGCACAAGAAAGAACCCCCACACTCACCATCGGGTCGGGGGAACGTTAGACGAGCCCTCGAACCCCTCACCCTCTCCACTCCGGATATCCCCACGCTAACCCTTGGAGATTGGAACCAAACATCATCCCCCGTTGTTGCCGTCTGCACGTCAGTCTGCTGCTGCACCCCTTACGAACAAGGGCAGCCAATCCTTCCCCTGCGAATGGCGACAGCCGAGTGGGTTGTATGGTTGATGTCGATGTTTGGGGGAGGAGGGAGCAGCCCTGGTTCCTGGTGCAAGAGGGGTTTATGACGCCCCCCGGCCGGCGGGGTGGAGCGAGGTCGGGCTATCCTCTCGGTGACACGGCAGGTGGGCGGCGGGCATCACAACTAACATCGCCCGCCGGCGGAACTTATCGCAAAGAACCCACGATATCTACGCGTTGTACGATGAGGCGCCAGAGCGTGGTGCCATCGTCATTCGAGGCTGGATGTGGGGACATGTGCGCTGGGTGCTGCTGCGGACTACGGAATCTTGCAAAAGAGAAGAGACCAATTGGGCCCTCAAGCAGGCAGCTCGAGATCAAGATTCCGAGACTCGGAGGCAACAAACACGATGATAAACGCTCGGCGCGTCTCCCCACCGGGTCTGGTGGTGTCTTTTCGCGTTTTCGTGGGACGCGATTCTTCCCAGTGGCTAGACCGAAGACTCGCACTCGTCCCATCCCATCATGGGATCAGTGCCGCGATGATGCCATAGCCGACTCCCGCATCCCAGACTACTTGGGTGGAGCAAACCCGACTGCTTGACGCAGCACATACTGTACGAGCAAGCAGTGCAACCCAGCAGCAAAACATTGCCGGAAGTAGTGAACCAAATCCGCGAGGCCGCTGC